CTTATAGGAGCAAGATTACAAAACAAATTACATTTCAATAGGCTTGGTTATCTCCAGGCCTCAGAGCATTACAAAGCTTTTCCACATCATTAGAGGCTGCTTTGCCCCTTCTGCATTTTGAAAAAAGCCAAGTCTGCTATCTTATTTTTTTCTTATTTGTGCACAGGCATCAGGATAACTCGGGGAAATAGCATTTATAAACTGCAGACCCATCTGAAGAACGAACAACCAGAAGGGTCACTCCTGCAAAAACACTATCAAAGCAGTTGGTTTGGAGAAGGAGCATCTGGCTGGCACAGGGTCGTCACATCCACAACGCGGAGAGTTTCATTTCTACAGCAGTTGCTCAGCAAGAGCAGCCAGCGACCAGATAGGTCTCAAGCCAGCAAAGCAACTTGTTCATGCCAACAGCTGGGGAGAGATACCTGTGTTACACTCAACATACATTTATCATAATGTTCAGAAAAGCTATGTTGTGACTGGATCATACAGGCTGCTCCCAAGAGGTCTTTCTAGGTCAGGGTTACATGGGTCACAGAGCACCAAACTTCCACTCATTACCCGAGCGTTCCAGTACTACTGATCTTACAGCCAGTGCTATCTGTGTACACAGAACAAGCCCCTCTATTCAAAAGAGCAGATCTGAAGGCCTTGCATAGCGAATCCTTGGCAAGAGATGCTTCAGCAGAATGCAAGAATCCTCAAATTCGCGTCACAAAATAGGAAACAACCAGTAAGTCCAGCCTTGCTGTAGCATTTGCCCTTCTGCTCGCTCAGAACAGGTACTACAGCTCAGTGAAAGGCAACTTCCTTGGAATGCTGCCCTTGCTGAAGTCCACTGTTTCAAGGTGCTCTCAGTACAGAACAGTGCGTGTCCTTGCCCAGTCGAAATTCAAAGGTTTTTCCATCCTGCCACTGCAGTCATGTGATTAATGTGATTCACGGTTCTGTGTAACACCACTTCCTTTCCAGGGAACATAGCGCCTCTTGAGCAAATCCAGGTCTCCTTCATAAACTGCAGTATCAGCTTTTATTTACCCAAAGAAATAACTTCTTGTCAAAAAAAGATACTTTCAGAAAGGATTTCAGAAGTGTTCTTGAAAAAAATCCATGTTTTCGGGCTGCATTGTTTAGGAAGAAGGGAGGCACTCCAAGACAGCTAACAAAAGGCAAACTCCGTCACACAACAATTCATGTTGTCTGCAATAAGCTGGCACAAGGGAGGGTGTGTGTGTGTGTGAGACTAGAAGAAATCACAACTTTCCACAAATTCTCAGCCTTCCTATATAGAAGCCCCCCTTCCTTGCCATTCTGAGCCACAGTCAAAATGGTCCACAGAAACAGGAGGGTCATTTCCTACTGTCACCCTTCACCCCTGCACCTGAGGGAAGACAAGAAGTTCTGCAAACTACCACCATGACTCATGAGTACTTCACACCACTAAGAGGTTTGAGCTCCTCTACAAGAGGCAAAGTCACAGGAGCAGACTAAGCCCATCAAGTATTTGGAGAGAGCTGTTATCACAGTGCGTCATGTAACTATCTAACCCAAGACTTAGAGTAGGAATCCTTATGGCCATTACACATGAGGCAAGGGGACAATGACACCCTAGATAAGTTCTGTTCCATGGCAGTTCACTTTAAAACATTTTGATTTCTTTCTCCTCAGGCACAGTCCATCCCCCATCCTTTCACAACAGGCACAGTCCATCCCCCATCCTTTCACAACAGGCACAGTCCATCCCCCATCCTTTCACAACAGCTGAGACCAAACTACAGATTTAGGATGAGATTTTCAGGCAAGTTCCACTCTCATTTAGAAACCAGGAGCTCTGATTATCTCAGCAAAAGTACCTGCAACCCAAAGCCGTGTGGTTTGCCACTAGAGAAGCCCCTGGACCAGTCGTGTAGACTAGGGAGTATCACGCTCTGCTAAGAACAGCTCACTCCTCCCACCACTCCCCTCACAGTAAGCCTCCTTGCAATCTGCTTTATCAGTTCCTACCCCATCCCCTACTCCAAACCCCATCTCGCATCCCCCTTGAAATTTAGGGTTTGTAGGTGGATTTCATTTGCTTTGAAGTGAAATCTCCCTCCTAGGCTCAGCCATAAATGTAACTCCTCCTTTATGTCAGCACAGCCCAAGTCCTGCACCTAACCTGCGTGCTCTGCATTCAAGCAAAATGAGTTTGGGCAGGTAAGAACTGTTGCAAGTTTTTTCCTCAGCCAACTCAGTACCAATCAACAGACCAGACTGCTTCAAGGCAGAGCCTGCTAGCACAGCGTTCATTTGTATTTCACAGATTTGTTTCTCCATATGTTCCCTTATACTAGTCTCCCTTTCCATCACCTTAAACCTGGTGTGTCTGTTTTTTTTAAAGATATTGATCTTTGCTATTACAGTAAGACCAGATGGTCTGTGACTCTTTATAAGGTATTTCCTCCTCCTCCTCCTCTCTCTTTGATTCAAGAGAGATCCAAGAAAATAATTTATCAGGTTTCTCCAAGGTTGTAAGAAGCTTGACAAAATTACTAAGCATCACGAACCTCCACCAAACCAACCAACCCTCAGGGAGAACTCCTGGTGGAGTCCTGCTAGCAGAAGCAGAGAAAGCAGTGGTTGGAGGTCAGACAGGAGCTAGCTCAGCTTCCCAGGTACCAGGGGTGCATGACTCCACCGAGAGCGATGCCACTCCGAATAACACGAGAATACTTGTCTGAGCAGCAGGTGGTGCAAGCACTATCCCATATGCACAATTGCAATGTTAATGACCTGTGAAAGCAGATCTCCTGAAGTACAGATGTTTGGGTGGAAACCAAGAGAAGGCTATGTTTAGAGAGAAAAATGCTTTTTCTGTTAAGTTTGTCCTTCTCCTGCCCATTTAAAAATAGGCCTATCCAGCTACGTACGTTGCCGAGGACAAGACCAGGCAGCAGAGTGCTAACATTCAGTGCCAAGCGTCACAGTTATAAAAGTAGGAGCCTCATTACTTCTGTAGACTGATACAGAACCAGAATTACCAAGGAGGATCTCATCAAGAAGGATATGATTCTATTTACTGTTGGATAAAGGGCAATAATGAAGTGGGAATGCTAACAAATGGTCAGCTGGCAGAAATCTTTTGTGGTCAATTATCAATTTCAGCCACCCATTTCCAAGCAGATGTTCAAATCACATCTCATTTTTACATCTGCTACAATGCAGCCTCAGCAGCATTTATATTCCTATAGGAAGCTGCAAATAAATTTATCTATTCAGATTGAATATCCTCTAGAAACTAGAATGAGAGGAAGAACAACCAGAACCACGGGTTATGTCCCAGCTCACTTGAGATGGCTAGATGCGAAAAGTTTACCCTGAATACAAAAGCATTTCTTCCAACTAGTCGATGTTCAAAGACTGCACATGCGGTAGCCAGTGCAACACACTCACCCAACGCAGATGTAAGAAAATTGTATTTATAGAGAACCTGCAAGTGCAAGATACCATGCAGATAAGTGAAAAGATAAAGCCTCTGCTGTAGCCAGCCTGTAATTCATCCAGACAACATACGAGCAAGGAGCAAGAGACAGGATACAAGGAAGAGCAGACAGACCATGTAGAAGAGGGGATAGAGCAAAGTCAAACACTACCGTAAGACAAATGCCAGGAGATTTGCAATACAAAACAGAGCTAAAGATTTGTAGCAGCAATATATTAGTTACTGCTTCCCAAAGGGAATTCCCTTACTGGCTCTGAAACCTGCTAATTTTCCTTTAGGAATTTCTTGGGATCATTCTGCATTTCTGCACCTCCTACGCAAATGATACACAAGACCTCGCTGCAGATCCAGGTGCACAGAAGTACCACACAGGGTCAAAGTCAGCCCACTGAGAAGGCTTTTCTGTGACAACTGGGAAAGCCCACGCTGTCTGTCGGGCTGAATTCCAAGCTTACAGCTATTTGGAATAAAAGAGGTTTGCACTAATAAGAAAACCAAATTGTGTGCATCACAGACAATGTTCTTCCCCAGCAAAATAGATCTCTATTTCACTCACCAGCCTTGTTCATTTGGAGCTCCTGCCTGATTTTCTGTGACTCAGAACATACGTCTTGCATTTTTAATTTGAAAGGAAGAGAAAACAGGCCATTTTAGCTTTCCTTGCATAGTCCCCTCTGCATTACTTATGCTGTAGTACATTCACATACTGGAAAGCAGCCCTGTGGCTATGCAGCTGTTCGTGCTGCCCAGATAAGTGCAGGCTCCATGCAACGAGCCACAAAACTGTCAGTTTCTTATAACTCTCAAGAAATGACAATTATTGCACCCATGAACACTCAGAATAACCACAGTGGGAGGCCATCTCTGGAAGCTACCAGAACACTCTTTGCCCTTCAGAACATCCCAGATCTACCCATCAGACACTGCTCTTCAGCCGATATCCACACCCGCTCTTTACAGACAGCTTCTTTAAACCTCCGCAGTTGATAGCTCTTGGATGACACCGTTGAGGGAGGCAATGTGTAGAAGGTGTCAATAGTAAATCCAAATCTCAGCACTTAAGCTAAATGTTCCCTGAGTCTGGGTTCATAGTTGTGGACTGACAAGAACAAGTTACCTCCCAGCACAACAAGCCAGAGCTCAGCTCTGCTCTTCCCAGGTATCGTGGGCCTGTTTTGGGAGCACCCCTAATTCACCGCAGCAGGCCTCCCTGTATAATGTTTCCCAGGTATCCCAAACTATGGAACTCATCTGAACCAGTCCTGGAACAAGACTGATTGCTGTGTGGGAACTCTCTGCGTGGTAGTGCTAGCGAGTGTAGCAGGCACTTTTTATTTCCCTCTGAAAAACAAGTACATTCAAAACATCAAAGGATACAAGTTCAGCAAGCCAGGCCTCCTGCTAGGATATCTATCCTCTACTCCTCCTTCCCCAGCAGCCAGGCCTCCTGCTAGGATATCTATCCTCCACTCTGCCCTCCCCACCGGTACAGCCTCACCCTATCCCACCCGGGGGTTACCTGGTGTAGGAGCTACTCTTTTCTTCATATGGACATGCACACTCTGGATATAAATGTTTCTTTTGCTCAAGCTCCACTTCCGAAATGCACGTCCGTTGATTCAGTCTTTAAAATAAAAAACAGCATTAATTTTTTTTAGACAATTTGTCAGATTAGGTTACAGAAAACAAAGCGTCCTATAGAACTAGTACAGACATGAACTTCTTGTAGCACTATTCTGTGATTGCAAAAATAAAAGTATTTATTCGAATAAAGCTGCAAAGATAACATACTGAGAGCAAAGCAGGACAGCGTGTCAGCTGAGTGAACCAGCAAGTCACTGTCCTGGCTAACAAGCCAGAAACCTGCAGTGAGCCCTCAAAAGCAGCAGATTTTTCACGTAACTCAAGGCCACGCTGGGAACGGCAACGCACAGAACATCCGAGTGCAGCAGGTCTGCAGCGGCCACAGGGAAGAACCATCAAACTGGCAACTCCAGGCCCAGGAACACCGGAGAGCAGAAGACAACCATCCCTGCCCAGCACCCAGCGCTGCTCTGCTGCTGCCATCTGCCGGAAACCACTCCAGAAGGCGAGCGGCCACCAAGCCAAGCCAGCACAAACATCTCTTCTCCTGCCCTGCAGACCACTGCCCAGGACTGCCTTAGCAACCTTCTTTCCCATTTGGGCCAGCCCTATACTCTTCCCCCTCTTACAGTATCTCACAGGGTAAAACATTAAGTACTTTTCCCACTATTTCAGTGCACCTTAAGAAAAAAATAAAGAGAAAACCAGCAGGACACAACCAACCAAACTGGTTTGGGAAATTTTTCCAGAGTGCAAAGGCATTTAGAGGCTCCTAAGAGATTACCTTTCCTCCTCCTGTGGCACAGGAATAACTTTGCCAGGCTTCTTCCCACTGGTTGTCTCTTCCTGCCCAATCTGGCCTACAGCTGTATCACTTGACTAGAAAGATAAGGAAAAAGGGGATTAACACCTAATAGAAAAATCATTCCAGTAAGTCTTGCTTATATAGTTATATAAAAAAACCCCCACACTTCCCTCCACTTGAAAAACCTTCCCTTACTGGGTAAAAATGCACACTTGTGTGCATACGGACGTTACTGCAAGTACAAATCAAAAGGAATGGAATTAAAAACATTTTAGTTACAAGAATTAAGATGTGTGTTTACTTTAACGCTGTTTGATGGCTGTTCAACTTCTGAAGATTCCTGCCCCCCGTCATCCTCTGGAGAGTCTAATTTCCTTGAAAAACAGCTCTCTGTTTCTTTGGAAAGTTCTTGGTTTCTCGACCCAGAAGCCGAGGTGTCCCACACCATCAACACAGGTGCTGAACTCTCATCAGCTGTCCTCTGGCCACAGGCAAGGTCAGAAGAGGGCACGGATCTTTCCACACGATCACTACAGAAGTTAGACACATCTCTGCTCGCAGAGGGAGTCTTTCCCAGGCAATCCACACCCAGGCTTTGCTGGCCATTAGACACCAGCCCCTCCGAGGATTCTTCGAGAACACAGCTACTAGCGGTTTTATCATACTCTAGGCAATCATTTATGATTGCTTCTGAAGCTTCTCTTTCAGCTTCCTCCAAGCAATTGTCCTCCAGAGGCTGACCTACACCGTCAGCATCAATTGGGCTAAGACTCAGAAGCTCCTGAATGTCAAGGTCAAACAACATGCGAGTTACTTGGGCTGACTGCAGATGGTTCTCATCCAAACTAGCACTTTCACTCAAACGGCTAGGATAACAGCCGTTATCAGAACCGACTGAACACTCTCTGGACAGAGGAACATTTGGTTCCTCTGCGATCTCCGAGGCTACGTTTGCATCTTCGCTGATGACTGATGCCCCAGTGAAGCTGCTGCTCTCGTCCTTTTTACCCTCTCCGTTTATATTTTGGCTCAAAGTGCTTTTTCTAGTTAGGTACCGCTCAGATTCCACGCAATCATCTGCCAAGATTTCCTGGATCTCTTCCTCAGTGTAATTGAAAGGAGAATTCCCTTCTTCACTATCCGACAGTTCCAACAAGGAGTCATCTGGCTCGCTATCATCAAAACATCTGGTTGTATCTAGAGAAATGGCTACATCATCGTATTTTGACGCAAAGTGCTTTTTCTAGTTAGGTACCGCTCAGATTCCACGCAATCATCTGCCAAGATTTCCTGGATCTCTTCCTCAGTGTAATTGAAAGGAGAATTCCCTTCTTCACTATCCGACAGTTCCAACAAGGAGTCATCTGGCTCGCTATCATCAAAACATCTGGTTGTATCTAGAGAAATGGCTACATCATCGTATTTTGACACAGAAGAACTGGCAACAAGGTCGTCATGGCCAGTATCATCCAGAAAAGGAGAGGATCCTTGAAAGCAGGCAGAACCTGGGGAACAGAGCAGCAGTTTCTCTGATGGATCTGGAGTGCTACAGTGATGACTCAACACACAAGCTTTCTTAGCTGATTGTAGGGCCTGAACCTGCTCTGCGGAATCCAACAGCCTTTTGGTGCTGGGAACTGTGCTATGAGCAGTAGGTTTAAATTCATGAAAAAGACATAGCCCAAAGGCGTGAGGGGAATGGTCATCCATGTTGCAGTCGGTTCCTGTATCTCAGCGACCCTGTGCCTTCTGCTTACAGCTCTAGAAGCCTGTTCCGAAGCTCATCTGATCCTGGTGCCCTTTGATCAGCCCTTTCAGAAGAGAAATCAGCAGGAGTCAGCTCCAACCTGCCAGCAAAAGACAGCATCTTAAATAAAAGAAACTCAGCCGTTTTCCAAAGATGCAGTAATATGACAGGGAAGGCAAAAACACTAGCTGAGGTACAACAATTTTAACTCCCTGGTCTCCATTACCTCTACTCCTGACCATTTTAGGTCTTAACAACATATAACAACAACCAGTCCCTCATTCCGTGAGTGTTCTCGCACACGAGGCTGTTTGGCTTTATCAAGCAGGGCTAATACAAGCCCCAATCATCAACGCAGTCTGTACCTTCTCCTCCAAAGCTGCTGTAAATCAGTCATTCTAACACCAGATACCAGCATTCGCAAATTACATTCTTTACGACCTTACATTTGAAGTCCAGAGCACACTTTAGGAATTAAATAAAGCCTCACAGACCTTCCCAGCGTCCCAACCCCCACCTCCGTCCTTCAAAGATACTAAACAAATAAAAAGTCTTTTTTGGGTTAGGAAAAACTGAGCAACGGAAGAGTAACTGTCAGGGAGCTAAAAGGACATTCAGCAGCATATTAGTCACTAACACACTCATACAAAATGCATGTTATAATGAAAGATCAGAAGATAAAGACCCTTCCTGTAAAAGTCAATAGTTTAAAAGTATTCACAAACAAAACCTGTTCTCCTCTTAGTGAGGACTCACACTAACGTGACTCTTTTGACCTGGAAAGCCCTGCATTTGACTCTCACCCAGCAGGAGAATCTGGACTAAGGAAAGGCATTTCCTGTCCTCTTCGACAACAGATTTAAAGGAATACCTTTTGTCTTTCCCTTGGTTTGACTACTTACTGCTTTCAAAAAGGAGGGGGGGTTACCTACTCCAGGAATAAAACTCGGGCAAGTCTGCTGCTTCCTCTCGTCATTCTGTCCAAATAATAAAAATCAGCACTTTCAGAATAATGCTGTAACCACACTGAAGAAAGAAAATACCTCGGGAATCACCTACGTGCATACAAAACCTATACAAGAACATACTGGAGTCACGGGCAGTCCTCACTAGATAGTACTTGCCGGGAGTTCTGCAATTTAGCTACAAGTGCTGAAGTGCTTTGAAGAGAAACAAAAGGCAAATAAAAACAAATTCAATGTGGATTTAGTCCTACAGAGTGTGGACTCTGTAGGACTGTGATCAGCAGTCTGATAACCTAGCTCCTAACTAACAAGGACTTGAAAGAGAGCCAAACATTTTAAGCCTTTTTTCTGGAACCGGCTTACAAAAAGTACATTTGGAGATGTTTACATGCTCAGCTTGCAGACAAGGAAATGGTTTCTTTACTGCCGTGACCTTCCCAATTCTCCTAACTGCAACTACGCTGGGTCTGTACTTTCAGCCCTGCATCAGCTGATTCTGGAAGCGGAACTCGGGTAACTATGCAACCGATTATGCGCGAGCCCAGACAAAGCCCCCTGCCATTCCCCACAGAAGTGTGTTCCATTCAGGGGCTGTTCAAGGATTTACACCAGGGTAATGCTCCGCAGCAGTTTAAATGGCTCTTAAACTGATGTAAGACAAGGCTGCCGGCTGCCACCCTCTCCCTCATTCCAGCACTGGTGCTTGTATGGTCAGACCACGCTAGAGCCAGCTCACCCCCAACCGCAAAAGCACCAGCCATGGATGGGCCATCCTCCCAGGGGCTGCCAAAGGCAGGCTCTTTGGAAGGTTACACAGGCTTTATGTGGGTTTCTAGCACAGCTTCAGTAAATAATGAGATCAAAAGACAAAGCTACTGAGAAACACAGCTCTGGCAAGGCTCACGGACTGGCCGCCTTGCCCGCTCCGCTCCCCACAGCCAGCCGCAGATCTCGCAAGCCTGCAGCGCTGCACTGCTCTGGGATCTGCTCCCTGAAGAGACAAGGGGGGAGCAGGGGGCACCTGCTAGAGAACACGACCACGGGCCACAGGGTAACAGTCCCCTCAGCCCCACGATTCGCCCACCGCGTGAGGTATTTTCTCTGAAAAAGCAAAGTCTCGAGACGTGGGGAACCTGCTCCCACCTCACCCGAGAGCACGAAGGCAAATACCAGCGTTTCACCCCCGCCGCTCCCTCACCTCGCCCTCTCTCAACTCACGGGTCTAACTCGTACCCGCTACGGGCCTGCCCCTACCTCAGCGACGCCCTTTTAGCTCCCCATCCCTCGGGCA